CTCGAATAATTACACGCATTATCATGCGTATCAATTAAATTTTTTTACCAAAGTAAACGAGAATATCCGTAACGGACGAACGTATAATAATTTCCCTCATTTCTCCTCGCGCATGTTTCTCCTCTTCGGACTCTAGTGAGCAATTTAAAAGGAACTAGCTGATCAAGCCGCGTTCACTATTCCCTTCTTTCTAGCGTCTCACTCTCGTGCAGTGACAATTTACTCCGTTTAATTAACGAATCGAATTAATCACCCTGGCAGTCTACCATAGCAAAACTTGTCTCCGCGCGACGGGACATCGCAAGTTGAAAAACAGGATTCACGACACCACAACCGTGTGGTGCGGCGGGTTTCGCGCTTCCACGTGTTTCTCAATGTCAAACAGAAAAGGCAGAGGTGAAGCTCAAAATTAATAAATTCAATATATTTAATCAGCACAAACTTCAATTTCAATGTACACGTTATATAAATTATCGTTACAAATAATCGTTTAAACTTCTATTGAATTAAACAATAATCTTATTAAGAAATTTTTAATGCATATGAAGAGGGAAAAAAATACTTGCAAAAAAGCTTGCAATTCTTTTTAGCATATTTTTAGTTATATGTTGTACTTTTATTTAGAGAATCCTTGAAAATTTATAACTTCCGTTCTTGGAGGTTTAAAATTTATCCTTGGGAAAGGAGTCAACTGACCGCAGAATCAACGACGAAGAGGAAAAGGTAGAAGGAGTCGACTCGGAGAGTGAACGTGCTTCGCTAGATAGTCGTCTTGACTCTGCGTTCAAGAGGAACGATACACACGCATTGTGCGTGTACGCATATATAGGCTTATACACGGACTTGACAATTAGCATACCAGAACGTTCCAGGAACCAGCGTTCCAAGCAAATCGTTCCGTTTGTCGGTCCGAGAACTGTACGATGGATTCGGTGATTCATTCATCGATTTGCCACCCTTCGAAATTGCAAATACACCAACTTTCGTTCTTATAGGAAGAAATCACGACTTACGCAAAAGAAATGTGCATTGGCTGCGTCCAGAAAAAGCAGCTTTGCAACTGTTGTCCTTTAATATGATTGGTTATACCTAAAATCCTTTAACATGATTGGTTTATACATTTAGATTCCATAAGGAACTAGCAAAATAGCAAAAATCAATCAATATCAAAAATTTTTACAATAATTGCAAAGCTGCTTTCTCTGTTGAACGCAGCCATTGTCGCTACGGCGACCGTTATCGCAAAACAATACAAATTCAATCGAAAAAAATGCCACGTTACTAAAATTATCTTTTTACAAAACGTAAAAACATGACATCAAGTTGACGCGCCACTAATTATTTTCTCTTATTTTCTTTTAATTATAATAGTAACAGTAAATAGTATAATTATAATTAATATTATAGGGTTCGTTCACAAAGCGATCTATTGTGGATACTAAAGCCACTAGATGGCAATGCAAGGTTTGTTTTTATTGCCGCACTAGGGCTGTACTAGAACTGAACTAAATGAAAACTGAACTGAATTAAAACTGAATTAGGACCGTGGCACATAAAAAACCTTAAACAGTAAGACTTGAGCAGTAAGCGAATTAGCCAATCACAGTCGAGAACGTAAGGTAAGCAGTAACATAAGCAGTAGCAAATCTATAACGTTGGTTTCCTTATTGTTTAAGGCTTACTGCTTTTTTATGTGTTACAGCCCTTAGTGCAAGCGAGGCTACAGTGCAAGTAGGCAATCAAGAAACGTCAGAATGTTATAGAGCAGTGCAAAGGCAACATGGCAGATTACATGGTTCTTATGGTATTCTTAGATTCTTTTGATGACGAACTTTGACGAAAACTTTGATAGAAGAATTATTAATAAGTTTTTATCATCAAATTAATAGATATATGAATTATTAATTTCAGATTTATCAATTATGAATTCAAAATGTAATTCGTAAAGTAGAAATTCGTGAAATATAAATTAAAATAGCTGTATAATTTATATCTATAAAATTATGATTATATTTTCAATTAAAAATTATGACTATAAAGTTATGACTTATAAATATTGAAAATCTTTTTATTTTCATAAGATTCTTTTCGCATTTTATTAAGTCAAGTTAACGTCAGTTTTATTTTTAATTTTTTGTAAAAATAATAAAATTTTTATTTCACGTTTCTTTATTGATATAGAGATATTTATAAATAAATTAGACTTTTGCATAAAAAATAATAAAGGGACGCGTAAACTTGATCAATATTTACACATTCTAGAAAACATGTCCAGATGTCTCTTTTCGATTTTATCAAGCAGTGTTTTCAAACAAGTTTTCATAATAGAGCTAAAATCTAATTAGTAATACTCGATGTAATATCGTGTGGATATAATAATTAAGCTGATTTAATATCCAAATATTGTAACATAACTCTTTTATATTAAAATACAAAATTTTTGTGATGGTTCTCGGTGAACAAATATAGAATTTCATTTAATTAATTATAAAAAAGGTACCGATAACATCGTATTTGATAGCATCGTGTATTGATTAAATTGTAAATTTTAAAAAGAACTTAAAATTCATATTACGTAC